CCTCCTCCCATCGTCTAGTGCATGGGGGTGCTAGGATGTATCTGTTTACGATTATGGCTGAGTAGATTTGCGATATGGCCTTGGCTGGTTCCCGGTCCTGAGTGCATAGGTGTTCGAATTGCGTCTGTTCTCTTATTAGAGACGGCTTTTGGGGGATTGATCGGGCGTATTGCACTATTTGTGCTCTAGCTAGGGTATGTGTGAATGTGTGTGGTAGATCCGGGAAGAGTTCTGTCGTCGGGCGGACTGCGAACGGTTGTTGAAGTACGTCTTTGATGCGTAGGGTTGGTATGTGTCTGGTGAGGGCTGGTATTGGGCCCTGATCTCCTGCTGGGAAATCTGGGTTTCCTCTCAGAGGGAGTAGTGGGCCTGGGTCCGTCGTTAAGTATTGTTTAGTGCCCTGTCTGTGCCAGATCCGCATGGTCGCTGTTACAAACGGGTTATGTATTTGTTTGTGTCTGTATGCGGCTTTCGTAATCCATGGCAAGGTCCTCAGGTCACAGTTTGTGGTATCGGATTCCAGCTGGGTCCATAGTTTTGTGCTGCCTTCCACGGACCAGCTCAGGATTCTGTTGAGGTGTGTTGCCTGATAATATTTTTCGAAGTCTGGGAGCGCCAACCCCCCTCGAAGTTTGGGCAACGTCAATTGAGAGTGTGCTATTCGTGGGGATCTGCCCTTCCATACGAACTTGCGGACCTCCGATTTCAGTGTGGTGAAGAACGCATCTGGGGCCAGTATCGGTACTGTTTGGAATATGAAAAGGAGTTTGGGTAGCAGTGTCATCTTGATCGCGTTCACCCTTCCTAGCCAGGAGATGTAGTATGAGTTCCATGAGCGCAATTCTGCTATCGCCTTTTTTAGGATGGGGGTGTAGTTGTGGGCATAGAGATCCGTCGGGTTCGGTGTAAGCTTAACTCCTAGGTATCGCATGGTTTGGTCGCACCATCGGTAAGGATGTTGTCGTTGGAGTGTGTGGTTGATGGAGAGGCCCAGGATTTCTGATTTTGAAGAATTGATTTGAAGATTTGAGACACGGCCATATGCCTCAAACTCCGACTGTATGGCGTGTAAGGTCGATTCTGGGGATGTGACTATGAATAGGAGGTCGTCCGCGTAGGCCAGTGTTTTATGGTGTGTCTGTCCTATTTTCAACCCCTGTATGTTATCGTTACCTCTGATGCGGTTTAAAAAGGGTTCTAGCGTCAGTGCAAATAGTAGGGGTGACAGGGGGCAGCCCTGCCTGGTCCCGTTATGAATCTGGAATGGATCGGTCAGCGCTCCATTGATCCGAATGCGGGCTGTTGGGTGTGTGTATAGTGCTTTTATCCAGGTGAGATAGTTCGGTCCGACGCCGAGGTGCTGGAGTGTGCCGAACATAAGATCCCAGTCTACTCTGTCAAACGCTTTTTCAGCGTCTGTGGACAGAAGGAGTGTTGGGGTCCTCTGTGTTCTGGCGTGGGCTATGATGTTCAGGGCTCTGATAGTGTTGTCCCGTACCTCTCTCCCCGGGATGAACCCCGTTTGGTCCGGGTGCACTGTCATGGGCAGCAGTGGTGCTAGGCGCGCCGCCAGGACACTGGCTAAGAGTTTGAGGTCCGTGTTTAATACGGAGATTGGGCGGTAGCTTGGGCAGAGTGTTGGGTCCTTACCGTCCTTAGGTAGGAGAGTGATGTTTGCCGCTGTGAACTGGGCTGTTGGGGTGGCTCCCTCCAGAATGGAGTTGAGGGCCGTTTGCAGTTTCGGGAGGAGCTCTGTTGTAAAGGTCTTGTAGTAGGAGAGGGGGAAACCATCCGGGCCCGGTGCCTTGCCTGTTTTCGCTTTTTTGATGGCGAGGGCCAGTTCCTCAGTTGAGATGGGTGTCTCCAGATTTTCTCGGTCGGCGTTTTCTAGTCTGGTTCCGCTCGCTGTTTCTAAGTATCTCTGGATCTCCTCGAGTTTGTGGCGGTGTGGTTCCTCTGGTGTGTCTTGACGCAGATGGTATAGTCCTTGGTAATAGGTGAGGAACGCGGATGCTATTTGGTCCGGGAGGTGAAAGTGTTGCTGTTGAGGGCCCTTGATTTTCGGGATGTACAGTTGGGACTTGCGCTGTTTTAGTAGGTTCGCCAGTAGCCTCCCGCATTTGTTCCCATGTTCATGAATTATGTGTTTGAAGTGTTGGTATGTGCGCTGTATCGAGCGGTTCAAGTGTGTCGAGAGTTGTTCCCTCTTGACGGTCAGGTCTCTGTATGTCTCCGCGTCTAGGGTGCGTTTGTGTTTGGTTTCCAGGGCTGCGATCTCCTTGCTGAGGGCTATCGTTGCCTGCGTTGCTTCTCGTTTGCGGGTGGCGCATGTCGCAATTAGCTGTCCTCTGATCACCGCTTTGTAAGCCTCCCAGCATGTCAGGGGTGTCGTGTCTCCTTGCTCGTTGTCTGTGAAGTAATTTTGTATGGACTGCCTGGTCCTTTCCACCACCAGTACGTCCGAGAGGATCGATTCATTCAATCTCCAGGAGGTTTGTCGCGGTCTGAAAAGAGGCGATTTTATTGTTATTCGAACCGGGCAGTGGTCTGACCACGTCATAGGTAGTATTTCCGCCTTGTTGAGGAGGGCGAGGTCGCGGTGTGGCATGAGAAAATAGTCTAATCTAGAGTATGTCGAGTGCGTTATGGAGTAGAATGTGTAGTCTCGTGTCGATGGATGTAGTGCGCGCCAGCAGTCTGCAAGTTGGTGGTAGTGGATGGTGCGCAGCGTTCGGGCGTTTCTGTTGTCCGGTGTGGGCCCGTGTTTGGCCGTTGAGTCTTGCTCTGCGTGCAGTGGCAAATTGAGGTCCCCGCCGACGATCAGGGTGCCTTCTGCGAATTTCATCAGTGTGTTGAGTGCAGTGCGTAGGAAGAGGTGCTGTTTTGTGTTTGGGGAATAGAGGTTGGCAAAGGTGTACGTCTGGTCTAGGATGGTACCTTTCGTAAAGATGTATCTGCCTTGTCTACATCTGAGTGTGTCTTGCTCTACATACGGGATCTGGCTTGAGAAGAGGATTCCCACTCCTAGTGTGCGCCGGTCCGGGTTGTTACTGAAGTATCCCTGCCGGAAGTATCGGTCTTTCAGCGCTGGCGCTCGGCCTTCCTGGAAGTGTGTTTCCTGAAGGAACGCTATGGAGGTCTTGTAGTGTTTAAGGTCTCGTAGGAGTCTGGAGCGCTTCTCCCGTATGTTGAGGCCGTGGACGTTGTAGGTGACGATTGAGAGGTCTTCCCGGGCGTACCGGTCCATTCCCGGGGTCGGCAGCCCCGGAGCGGCCGGGGGGGGCGAGCGGTGCAGCGACTGGGGGGGGGTGAGGGTGGGTGCGTCTGGTATATGGGGGGTGGGTGTGCGGTCTATGTGTAGTGGTGGTTGTGTCTGAGTGAACGGCCTAGTTGATTGTGGTTTTTACTATGATGCTTGAGCTTTATCTGGTGTAGGATAGTGGACAGGTGTCTCAGTGATCAGGTCCCCTTTTCCTGCTGTGTGCAGGGGTCGGGTCTGAGCTGAGATTGAGGTCACACCCTCCGAATGAGGGATTGTCGTGTCCTGTTCCTATGGGGGCGGCGGGGAGCCGATCTGGTGTGATGGGCTCTGCCTTGTGTTGTTGTGGTTTTGCCCGTTGTGCTCTGGGCTTGTTGAGGGAGTTTGCCTACTGTTTGGGGTTCGTGGGTGTCTGTCTCCTGTGTGGCCTTGATCTATTTTGTTCGCTTCGCCTTTCAGTTTGGTGCGGGTGTGGGTCATCCGCTGTCAGCGGGTAGTGATTGGTCTGGCTTGGATCGCGGTCGCCTGCCTTGGCGGGTACTGTGGTCTGGTCTCCGGGGATTCCCATGTCGGGTTCTGGGGTTTGGGTCTTTGGTCGTATGTGCCGGACGAGTCTAGGTCCTCTGTCCGTGTTGGCGGGATGTGTTCGTTGAATCCCAAGTGTGGTCCCAATGAGGGGGGGGGGCGGTTGGGCCTGTGGGTGTCGCCTGAGTTGTAGGCTGCTAGTACTGTTGCCTGCTGCAGTTCTGCGGTGTGCGCTCGGGTGCAGGGGGTTCTGTATGTTTCTCTGTGTCTTAGCGGCTTTCTTTCCTGCCGTGGGTGTAGTGCGTCTCTAGCGTTTATGGGGTGGGTGCTGCCGTGGGGCCAGGGTTACTACTGGGGCTCTCTGTGCCTATCTTCTCTCTTCCATCCCCCCGCTAGGTTCTGTCGCCTCTCCCTATAATAGTGTGGTGTCTGCTCCTGGGCGGAGGCGCTTTTGTCTCTGTGTGGGTGTCTTGCCTGCGTGAGGGTCGGGTGCTTAGGTAGCGGTGTCGTGGGCAGTTCACCCTTGCCTGTATGGTGTCTGTCGTCGCATGTCCGTGACTGCGCCCCTGTTTTCGTCTCCTGCCTAGTGATGGTGGTTAGGCTTGTCTGTACGTCAGGTGGCTGAGTCTCAGGTGGTGGTGTGTCGCGGATCACGTGTATTATCTGGGGTTCCCCTCCATTCCCTCCCTACCCCCCATCCTGTTGTGTATTTATGTACCCTTCAGGGTCGTGTGTGAGGGTTTGAGCTACTGAGTTGCGTTGGGCTCTCCCGGTTCTGGGTGCCATTCTTTCCTGCGAAGGTCGCGTTTTGGTTCGGTCTTCGGATCTCACTCGGGTGCGTCCTCTTAGGTGATCCAAGGGTGTGTGCTCTAGTTGCCTTACCCTTCTCTCCTTTCTTACCCTTTCGTACCTCCCCCCCTTCGTATGAGTCCATATCTTGGTGATGAGTCTTGTGTCCCGTCCCCCGCCCAAAAGCCCCCTGAGTCTCACCCATGCGGTTCTTGGGGCTGCTGGTTGACTGTGTGGTCGATCTCTTTGTGTCTGACCAGCATCTTTATGGGAGCGGCCCCCCCTGTCCCCCCACCCAAAGCCCCATGCGGTATGTTCGAGTTCTGTGTTGTGTCCCCAAGTTAAGTACTCACAGTTCGTTGTGGTCGTCTGTTGGTAAGTGGTTTCTTGTCTTTAGCCGCCAAGGCAGTGCCGTGCTGTGTAGGGTTTACATCTCTCGCCCGGCTCGACCTGGGAGTCCATCCCGGTGGCGTTGCGGTTGAGGTCTACGCTGGTTCGGGCCATGCCCTTGCGGTTGCTGGGGTCTGTTTGGTTGTAGGAGGAATGACCTCGCCAGCCAGTTGGGGACCGTGACCGGTGGGAGTCCCAGGGTGCGCATGAATGCGTGGACGTCGTCGGGTTTCCTTATCGTCAGAAAATCCGGGCCGTGTCTGGCGGAGAGAGAGAAGGGGTACCCCCAGCGGTACTGGATGCCTGCATGCTGTAGGGCGGTGGTGATTGGCCGTAGTGCCCGTCTGGCTTGTAGCGTGTAGCGGGAGAGGTCTTGGTATATTGTTATGGTCTGGTCGTCCATGCGGATGTTGCCTATGCGTCTAGCCGTGCGCAGAATTTCTTCCTTCAATTGGAAGTTATCCAGGCAACAGACTATGTCTCTGGGCTGGTCTTCTGGTGGGGGTATAGGGCGCAGCGCTCGGTGTGCCCTAACCAGGCCCAGTCGCGGCATGTTTTGATTGCCCAGTACCTGACTGAAGATCTGTCTCAGGAGCTCTGGGATGTTTTCCGCCGGGCCCCCCTCTCTCACTCCGCGGACTCTCAGGTTCATCCTGCGCCCGCGGTTATCCAAGTCGTCCACCCACGTGGTTAGATGGGCTATGTCAGCTTCTTGGGTGGTGACCGCGGTGTTTGTTTGTTCTAGGTCCGTGCGGAGTGCCCTGGTTTCAGCCTCCGCCACGGACATCCTTGCCTCCACGTTCGAGAGGTCTGCTCTCAATTGGGCCACTTCCTCTCTGACCACGCGGCCCAGCCGGTCCGAGAGGGCCTCAAAATCCGTTTTGGTCAGTAAGTTGGGCAGTATTGCCCTCCACTCGCCGTCGGGTTGCTGCCGCTGTTCCGGCGTCGGGGAGGGCGACGGCGAGAATCTCGGCGAGGTGGGGGGAGAGGAGTCCCTGGTCGGGCTTGCGGCCTCCATTTCGCGCTGCGGCGTACTGTCGCGGGCCGTGGAGTGCAGGAAGGACCTGATGGTCTGTTCTCCTCCCGGTCCCGACTGCCTCGGGGTGCCGGTGGCGTCTGCCATTCTTTTGCGGCCCATCTGTGTTGTTCGTGGGGTGTAGGGTAAGCTGATAATGCCGTGTAAACGCTGGTGCCACGAGGAGCTGAGCCGTTATGCGGCCATGTTCTCCGGCTGCCGCATCCCTAAGAATTTGTACCCAGCAGTCGTACAATGGGCACACGGACCTGAACATTTATCAAAGGATCTAATGAATGCTCTTGTACAAAAATACTACGAAGCACCCGGAATTACTACACTAACCAGTAACTACTGCAAGGCCTGTGTTATTTGTGCTAAATGCAATCCAGGAAAAACAATCAAAGTTCCTCCAAAACATCTGGTTAAACCCATGTATCCATTTCAAAGGATTCAAATCGACCACATCCAGATGCCAAAGAGTGGTCACTATGAATATGCACTAGTGATAGTGGACATGTTCTCAGGCTGGCCAGAAGCCTATCCAGTAGTCAACATTACCGCCAAGACAACAGCAAAACGTCTACTCACAGAAATTGTATGTAGATTTGGACTCCCAGAAGTTATTGAAAGCGACCAGGGCCCAGCTTTCACAGCATCAGTAACTAAAGAGATTTGGACTGCCCTAGGAGTGACCCTTGCTTTCCACACGCCTTATCACCCACAAAGCAGTGGCAAAGTGGAACGTATGAATAGTACCCTAAAAGCTAGAATGTTAAAAATGTCACAAGAAACAAAGATGCCCTGGCCAGAAAGCTTGTCAATAGCTCTATTCAGTGTCAGACACACACCCAGAGGAAAACCCTCACTGTCCCCATATGAGATTCTATTTGGGACTGCACCTAGGCTAGGTTGCTATTTTCCCCAACAACTACAACTTCAAACTGATGTTTTAGTAGATTATGTAACTGAACTTGCAAATGCTTTAAACAAAATCCATGCCCAAGTTTTCTCTTCAATTCCAGATCCTGATTCTGATACGGGCAACCACAGTCTGCTCCCTGGTGATTGGGTCCTAGTCAAGAAATTTGTGCACAAACACACCCTGGAACCAAGATTTGACGGACCATTCCAAGTTCTACTGATCACCTCCACCTCTGTCAAGTTGGCTGGGAAAAGCAACTGGATCCACACCTCCCATTGCAAAAAGGTTCCTGTCCCAGAGGAAGCAGACTCCTCACAACCATGTACCTCTGGTACATCATCCCTTTGATTAGTTTCCTTGAGGCCCAACAAGTGGCCATTACCAAAGATGCTAGTGGGTACACATTCTGGTATAATTCATCATGCACCCGCGTAGCTACATTCACCTTTGATTACTGTGACATAGTAGATTGCCCATTTCCCAAGTCACAGATTCAAACCATTTACAAAGATATACCACACGCAAAGGACCCCTATGTTTGTGTAGTTGACAAGCAATGGGGACACAACTGTGACCATTGGGGGGCTGCAGGATGGAATACTGGGCCTGCCTGGGGTTACAAACCCAAAAGTGCCTTATCTAAAGTAGATGACCATGGTAGATCCCTCCTTCAAAGAATGACTTTAAGAAAGCCTGGAGGAGGTCTGCCCATGAAATTAATGTTAAACATTGAGCACCCTGGTCCAAAGGATGCTGACCAATATGTAATGGGAATGTATTGGAAAAGTGGTTCCTATAACAAATTAGGTCATTTCTATCTTAAAGATATGTGCCACTCTCCAGAGTGGCAAGGGGCTGTTCATATGGTCCCGAATCCACTGAAACCACATATCCAGTCTTTTAAGGACATGATGGCCATTGCTAACCCCACCTTCGAAGACACCATGGCCACTGAAACTGGTTACAATGATATCAATCTATGGTTAGAGTGGATGAAATATAATGCTAATAAACATAACAAAACCGCATGCTATGTGTGCGGTGGTGCTCGACCTCATCTTGGCACCGTTCCTCTAACTCTCCCTTTGGAGATAGAGAATTGCTTCCTCAGTCTTTTTGCCTACCGCTATAATTTCAACAGATCCCTCTGCGAAGCATGGACGGCAGAGTACCCCCTCTTAATTGGAAATGTCAAACCCCCAGATGGAATCACGATTTACAAGGGTAATTACACTTGTTATGCTATCTATGACGGGATTGGTAAATTCATGGGTAACTTTTCCAATGGCTATTGTGCCACCTACAGAACTGTTCCTATACGCCTGTTGCAACACCATACCAGGTCATTGGGGGATATTTACTGGTTATGTGGGGATCTACATTTAAGATCTAGGCTGGAAACTGAGTGATGGGGTGAGTGTACCCTGGCCAAAGTTATCATGCCCATTTATATTATTTCTGATAATCATCATGACACATACGACCCTCCACATACACCAGCCAGAGTGAAGCGCGAAACCCCAGTAAAAGGCAGTTTTGACCCCCACATTTACATAGATGCCGTTGGGGTACCTAGGGGGGTGCCTAATGAATTTAAAGCTAGAGATGAAGTCGCTGTAGGTTTTGAATCACTTTTTACCATAGTCACTGCCAACAAAAACCTTAATTGGATTAACTACATTTACTACAACCAACAGCGTTTCGTCAACTACACCAGGGATGCCCTCCAGGGCCTGGCCGAGCAGTTGCAGGCCACATCCCAGATGACCTTCCAGAACAGAATGGCCTTAGACATGATTCTAGCTGAAAAGGGGGGTGTATGTAAAATACTACCTGACACCATGACTTGTTGCACTTATATCCCAGAAAACACAGGTCCAAATGGTAAAGTCACTATGGCCATAGCGAAGTTAGAGAAGCTCTCAGAAGAGTTGAAGAGGAATTCTGGGGTAACAGATCCCTGGGAAAGGTGGTTTGGTTGGATGTCAGGTTGGCAGAAAGCTTTAGTCCATATTGGTATGGCTCTACTAATTTTCTTTTTTGTTCTCGCTCTTCTCGTTTGTTGTGTCCTCCCATGCCTTAGAAAATTCTTACAGAAGACTACAGACCAAGCGACACTAACTTTCACTCATCTGACAATCGATGATCAAGATCTCACCTCACCCTGTATTCCGCTACAAACTCTCCCTTATACTGATAAAGTGCAGATGTTCTAGGAAGGGAACCAGCGCAGGGACAGCGTCCGTCTGTATGGGTTAGTCTGTTGTGGGAGATGTGGTGGACTAGCCGCTGCGGGTTACCCACGGAGTGAAGTGTTCGAGGGCCATACTGACGGATGAGCTGCAGCCTGTTAGGGTCAGATAGGGGTAGACATGTACTTTGCAATAACACCAAGCTAGCGACCATAGGGTTTCTGTGTCTTTGGGCTAACAAGTCTTCTGGTATTAACAAATAAAGTTTATCTTTTAGTAACTAACATTTTAAGGGGGGACTGTTGTAGAATTATAGAATTCTTGAAATTATCTAAGCTAATACTTTGGCAGGAAGAAATGTGCGTCAGCAGAACAATGAGTTTCTGTTGAATGAAATATTGTAGCAACTGAGCCACATGTTGGTCTTAATAAAGTACGTGTCAGCTGAATAATAAAATGTGTATTTACTAAAAGAACCTTGAAACTAACAATACCAACTACTCAAAATGGCTGCCAAAGCACCCCTCCCATCGAGTGAACACCTCGTGCTTGTGTCCACTCCCGTGTCAAGGATGACACCACCTCTTGATGGGAGGGCATCTAACTAACCACTTAACACCTGAACCAATTAATAATGTTTATTTGTTGTTATCTTGAATTCTTCAGTGATGTAAAAATGCCTTTATAAGGGTCTGCGCACCCATTTTCTGTTAGAAGCCATTAAACTTTTCCGAAGTTCTTTCATTAACCTGAACTCTGTGTCTCAGTGTGAATTTACTTCTGCATGCTCGCAACTTTATTATCTTTAATTTGGACAGGAACAGATAGTCATTCAAACTTATTGGTTTGCAGAAAATAATCTACTACAATTCCATATATGTTTGAAAAGTAGACACCCTAGGGCAGTGATGGCGAACCTTTTTGAGCCCGAGTGCCCAAACCGTAATACATGCCAATTTTTTTTCCCCTCAAAGTGCCAAAACGGCATTTAAACCTGAATACTGAGGTTTAAGTTTCGAAAAAACAACTCATACAGTTGTCCGAACTAATTAACATCTCTGTGTGTGTATTTAGCAGTCTTGTCTGTCTGTGTACTTAGCAGTCTGTCTGTGTACTTAGCAGACTGCTGAATACACACACAGACTGCTGAGTACACAGTCTGCTGAATACACACACAGACTGCTAAATAGAATACACACGCACACACACACACAGACTGCTGAGTGTACACACACAGACAGACTGCTGAGTGTACACACACTGCATTGAGGGGTACATTGTATGTGTTTGTGTGTGTGTGTGTGTGTGGGTGGGGTGATGTGATGTGTGGGTAGGGTGATGTGTGGGTGTCTTTGTGTGGGGTGATATGTGTAGGGCAGGGGTGCTGTGTGTATGTCGTCCCCCCTCACCCCCCGTCCCACACTCAGTTTTCTCCCCCTATACCTCCCTCAGTTCCCCCCCATCTCTCCCACTCAGTTTCCCTCCATATCTCTCCCACTCAGTTCCCCCTCCATCTCTCCCACTCAGTTTAGCCCCCCATCTCTCTCCCACTCAGTTTAGCCCCCCATCTCTCTCCCTCAGTTTCCCCCATCTCTCTCCCACTCAGTCCCCCGGCCTCCTCAGGTTCCCTCCATCTTTCTTAGATGTCCCCCTCCATGGCTCTCCCTCAGTCCCCACAACTCTCCCTCAGTTCCCATCCCAGGCTCTCCCTCAGTCCCCCGCCCATTCTCCTCAGTTCCCCCATCCCCCATATGGCTCTCCTCAGTCCCCATCTCTCTCCCTCCAGGTTCCCCCCATCTTTCTCCTACTCAGGTGTCCCCCCTCCATACCCTCAGTTCCCCTCCCATGGCTCTCCCTCAGTCCCCCACTCCATGGCTCTCCCTCAGTCCCAGGCTCTCCCTCAGTTCCCATGGCTCTCCTCAGTCCCCCATCTCTCTCCCACTCAGGTCCCCCCCCCCTCCTTGAGCTCCTACCTTGTAGCGTGGCCGAGCGCACCGCGGTACAGGAACTTATGTTTCCTGTACCCGGCGGACAGGAAGTGCTCGCTCTGTGAGCACTTCATTTCCGGCCGCCCGGGTACAGGAAACATAAGTTCCTGTACCGCGGTGCGCTCGGCCACGCTACACAGAGTGCCTGGCAGGAGGGAGCGCTCTGCGCTCACCTCCTGCCGGTCACTCCGGCTTTGCGCCCGCCGGGCCGGTGCACCCTAAGGCGGCCACTTGTGCCGCCTTATGGATGCGCCGGCGGAGCGCACCCTCCCTCCCTCCGGCGACCTATGGCCGCGTGCCCACAGAGTGGGCTCGGCGTGCCACCTGTGGCACGCGTGCCATAGGTTCGCCACCACTGCCCTAGGGTGTTTCAAATGGTGGTATTTCAACAATTTCCATGCACTAATTCTACCACCAGTCTTTTTCAAACTTTTGAGTAGTCATTTTTTTTTGTGTTATTTTTCACATTGTACTTTAGGCTTGGATTCTCAGTTCCTCTTATGTGTTACTGACAAAGAACACCCCAATATGTGTTCAGCAACATCCCCCGAGTACAACTGTGCCCCCAATGTACAGGTTTTATTTTTTTGGCAAACTTACAGGGGTCAAATGTAGGGCTTTCCCCTTTTCCATGTTTGCACTTTAAAATTTGCCAGATTGGTTTGCTGGGCCTATGTTGCCTTTGAGATCATATAGCAGCACAGGAATGAAAATTACCCCCATCATGGCATACCATTTGTAAATGTAGACAACCCACAGTATTCAAAATAGGGTATGTCCAATCTGTTTTTTATAAATTTATAAATCCTTTCCACTTATAATATAAATATAATACGTGTGTATGTATGTATATATATATAAATATATGTACACTTATAATGAAATCATATATATGTATAATATATTATAAAATGGTTAATTATTTTAATTATTTTTTTATATATTTTATATATATATATATATATATATATATATATGTATAATATATTTATTTATTTATTACTTTTTAGCAGCCTAGGTGACTGTCTGACAGCTTAAACAGTCCCCCTGCTGGCAGCTCCTAGACTCCTATGGCGGCCATGTGATTATAGTGATCACATGGCCCTGGAGGGCCGGGGTGGCCGGAACTGCTGCAGGGGGACTGCTGGGGTCTCCAGCAGTCCCGTCTCCCCCCTCCCCCCCACCCGACCTTGATTGCCGCGGATTGCCGGTCCAGGTAAGTCCAGGGCTCCTATTTGCCGTGGTTGTTAGGAGGATATACATAGCTATATATAATTTCCTTTTGAGTGTATTTTGATATAAAGATATATATATATATTTGTTAATATCAAAATACAGCTAAAATAAAATTACATATATATGTAATTTTTACAGTTTATTTATTTTTAATTATTTATTTTTTCTAATATATATATATATATATATATATATACACACACACAATATATATATAGTTATTATATATATACACACACGTGTAATTTTACTCTAAGTACATTTTTATATTAATAAAAAAATACACTTAGTATGATGTTTTATATATATATATAAATAAGCATATTATATATATATATATATATATATATATATATATAATATATACAAAAATACAGAATCCAGCGTACTCGCTTATTCACTAAACAATGATTTCAAATCTTGTAATAGTTTTATTTAAAAACACCTCACCTAGGAAAAAAATATTTTTTGCCTAGGTGAGGTGTTTTAAAATAAAACTATTACAATCTCTAAGATTTGAAATCATTGTTTAGTGAATAAGCGAGTGCGCTGGATTCTGTATTTTGTATATTTTGGCCCCAGCAGCACCCTATAATGTATGCATGTTCAGGTGAGTGCAGCCCTCTTGGTTTTGTTTATATAAATATATATATGTGTGTTCGGTGCTATTCTAGATAGATGTAAATTATAGATATGAACAAGTCGGTTGAAGTGTGCCGAAACCGCCGTATGCGGTAGGCCTGTATTAAAGAGGGCAAAAATTAGCAGTGTCTTGCCAAATAAATATTTATTGCATAGATGAAACACAGTGCAAAGAAAATACCTCAAGATGACAGTTTTACGAAGGCAGACCTCATTTCTAACACAGGTTGAGGTATGTACAAAGCAAATGCAGATGACTTCCAGCGGCTCAAAGTCTTGATTACATGCACTGGAATATCGTGACTAGAGGCCGTGGAGCCTGCCCTATCCGAAAAGAATGTCCAGAAAATATGCTAGGCTGGTCAGTAATATCCGTACGTATTGCATGAATTTAGCTGTTGTTAATGATTGGAGACATGTATCCATCACTTCTACCGGGCACCATTTGTTTGAAGTAGGATAATAAGTGATATGCACTACTTTACCAAGCTGACTTGTTTTAGTAACGGTTAGGGACAAGATATAGTGATCTTGTCGTTTGAAGAGATAGGAGCGTTTAAGGCAGTCTCGTGCATATGTGTTACCATGTATAGTGAATTTGCATGGTCTAAGAAAACCGTAATAAGCCAAGTAAATGGCCGTTTTGATTACCAGATTCGTTGTGTGTTCAAACGAGGCAGTATTCAACAAGTCAGACATGTCCTTAAATAACTCTTTATGTATTGGTAATCTTACGGATGGAGGAGTGGTACTGCCTTTTAATATGTTTTTTATGGGGTAAGATGATAACAAAAACTAGGATTATCTGGGTATAAGGTATACATGTGGTGTTTGATGCCGGTTAAATATAATTTAACGGTGTTGTGTGATAGTTTAAGTTTGAGATGACAAAAGGATGCGAAAGCTACCAGCATTGAAATTGTGAAAAACTGAATCAGATTATGTTCTAACATAAATCTCTTATACAGTGTGAAGGCTCTATTGTAAGACAGTTTTGTGTTTTCAGAGAGGGCCAAACTAGCCAAGGCGAGACTATGCCTTGCTAATTCTTTTAGTCCATTACAAGTTCCTGACACTTTATATTATTATATATTATAATAATATAAATTGCTGCAGTGGCTGTCGGGGAGGCTGTGGTTAACGTGTCTCTGAAGGACTGGAATTCAAAGCGAGACAATTTGTCAGCTGCAGTATTATAAATCCCTGGTACATGACAACACACCAGATAAAAGTGATTACAGGCAGCCAGCCAGGTCAGTCTTCTCATGAATCTCATGATTGTTACTGATGAGGAACATCCCTTGTTTATGATGTGGCAGGTAGCTAGGTTGTCAGAGAAACCGCGTACCGAGCTACATGAACAAGACTGACCCCATACCATGGCCGCTGCAACTATAGGGTATACCTCGAATAAGGCTGAGGTGCTGAACCTCCTCTGGCCAACCATCCCAGAGTCACTCATTGCCAAATATGGCAGCATCCATCCAAATGACCGGAGAGTGGACAGACAATTGTGGTAAAAACATACTTCTGCCATTCCATTGCAACAAGAATTTGTTTAACCCCTTAAGGACTGGACTGTTTTTGCGATGTTGTACATTTGCGACCAGGCATATTTTTACACTTTTGTGGTGTTTGTGTTTGGCTGTAATTTTCCGCTTTCACATTTACTGTTCCCATACAAATTATATATTGTTTTTTTCAGGACAAAATGGGGCTTTCTTTACATACCATTATTTATATAATCTCATGTATTTTAATTTAAAAAAAAATAAAAAATATGATGAAAAATTGAAAAAAATACATGTTTTTTTACTTTTACTGCTAAATAGATTCAAAATTTTGTCCTGAGTTTACATGCTTTTTTTTT